CCCCCCAAGGAATACCCATATACCATTCATTACATCAAGCCAAAGGACTTCCTAATTTACACCCTTTTATTCCTCCTAGTGGCTGTATGCATTGGCCCAAAACCCACCATCCTTTTTCCTCCCTAATAGGCCGAAACACCTTCCCCCACAACCTCACCCTCTCCCTTGTTTTCATTCCATTAAATAAGTAGACATTATTCCCCTAAATAAGTGAATGTAACTAGGAAGCTTCCCTCTCCCCTTGATGTGTTTATATACGGCCCTAGGTCTTGTCATTTGAAGCATTGTATTCTCTATTTTACTAAGTAATACACTTGTGTGTGTTCTCTTAAAATTCCTATTTCTATATCCTAAGAGTGGTTCTCTTAAGTGTGAGTTTTAGGTTCTAGTTATTTGAATGAGTGTGTAATATCTTATTTGAATACTAGACTCAACCCCAAGTAAGCTAAGGGTGTGTTAGCTCATGTGCTGTCCCGGCACTCTTGGTGCCAAAGAAGAACGGAACGTGGCGCATGTGTTGTGATAGTCGGTCTATTAATAAGATCACTATCAAATATCAGTACCACATCCCACGTTTGGAAGATATGCTTGATGAACTACACGGGTCTAAGATTTTCTCAAAAGTTGATCTTAGGAGTGGCTACCATCAAATTTGCATCTTTGAAGGAGATGAGTGGAAGACGGCATTCAAGACGAAGTTCGTGCTATACGAATGGTTGGTCATGCCATTCGGGTTAACCAATGCCCCGAGTACATTCATGAGACTTATGAATCAAGTTTTGAAGCCATTCATAGGTCATTTTGTCGTTGTCTACTTTGACGACATTCTGATCTATAGCAAAAGCGAAGAAGAGCACGTGAATCACCTCACTTTGGTGATTAAGAAGTTAGACGATGAGAAGCTGTACGGAAATCTAGAAAAGAGCCAATTCTTTGCTCAAGAGACGGAGTTCTTGGGATATTTTATCTCAAGTGAAGGAATCAAGGTTGATGAGAAGAAACCCAAGCCATTAAGGATTGGCCGATCCCCACTACTATGCAGCAAGTCTGAAGCTTCCATGGGTTAGCCTCGTTTTACCGGAGATTTGTGAAGGACTTTAGCACCATCACGGCACCCATCACCGATTTGACAAAAAATCAGAAGTTCGAGTGGAATCCCAAAGCACAACAAGCATTCACGGCGATTAAGAAGAGACTAACACATGCCCCCGTGTTGGCCCTACCTAGTTTCGACAAGTTATTCGAAGTCGAATGTGATGCCTCCGGAGTAGGCATAGGGGTTGTGCTAACCCAAGAAGGACACCCGGTATCGTACTTTAGCGAAAAGCTAAACAACACAAGAAGGCGGTATTCCACCTATGACAAGGAGTTCTACGCGTTGGTGCGGTCACTTGAGCATTGGCGTCATTATCTCATTAGTAAGGAGTTCATCCTACATTCTGATCATGAGGCCCTCAAGTATATCCAAGGGCAACATAAGCTCCGACCCCGCCATGCTAAGTGGGTTGAATATATCCAAACCTTCACCTTCACCATCAAGCACAAAAACGGAACCATGAACAAGGGCGCCGACGCCCTATCCCGGAGACATTTATTACTAACGGTACTTAGTACCAAACTTGTTGGTTTTAAGTTTTTGCAGGAGCTTTACAAGGAGGATGAAGACTTCAAAGACACTTATTCTAAGTGTTTATATCGGCCCCTTGGTGAATTTCTTATCAAAGACGGTTATCTTTTCCGTGGCAATCAACTATGCATCTCGAAGTGCAGCGTTCGCGAAACCCTTATCGACGAAGTCCACGGAGGAGGCCTAGCTGGTCATTATGGAATTGACAAAACCCACATGATGATGAGAGAGCACTACTACTGGCCGAAGATGGAGCGGGACGTAGAACACTTTGTGAAACGACGCAACGCGTGCCACCTTGCCAAGAGCCATTCGCTGCCTCAAGGAAGACACCTACCCGTTCCTTTTGCTCCATGGGAAGGCATGAGCCTAGACTTCATTACCGGGCTGCCTAGGACACAACGTGGCAAGGATTCCATCATGGTCGTGGTGGATCGTTTTTCAAAAATGGCTCATTTTGTGCCATGTGTTACAACTTATGATGCATACCAAGTGGCTGATCTCTACTTTCGAGAGATCGTAAAACTCCATGGCGTTCCCCCAAGCATGGTCTCGAATAGGGATACGAAATTCCTTAGCCACTTTTGGATGACCCTGTGGAGAAAATTGGGTACTAAACTCAAGTTTAGTACGTCGAGCCACCCCCAAACCGATGGACAAACTGAAGTCACCAACCGGACTCTCGGAACCCTTCTCCGAGCCCTCATAAAGAAGAACATCAAACAATGGGAAGAGCTACTACCACATGCTGAATTTGCCTACAACCGCACCCCGAACAAGACGACCGGTCCGTCCCCTTTCACGATTGTATATGGTTCAAACCCCTTGACCCCGCTTGAGCTTGTTCCTATCATGACGGACACCAAATACAGTTGGGAGGCAGACAAGAGGTCAAAGGAGATCCAAGACCTTCACAACAAGGTCCCAGACAAGATTGAAGCAATGAACGAGCAAGCCAGTACCCGGATCAACAAGAAGAGAAAGAAAACGAGTTTCCAACCGGGAGACTTGGTATGGATTCATCTTAGAAAAGAGCGTTTTCCCACCAAACGCAAATCCAAGCTGTTGCCGAGAGCTGATGGACCATTTGAAAT